TGCACACACACACACGCACACACACACGCACGCACGCACACACACCACACACACACACACACACGCACGCACGCACGCACGCACGCGCACGCGCACGCGCGCACACACACACACAAACACGCGTACACGCACCTTGACGTTGCCCTCAAAGTCCTGGGTGAAGGTCGTGACAAAGGGCAGCACCCCCCACCGCAGCGACAGGCGCCGCCGCACGTCCTCCCGGTCTGTCAGCGCATAGATGGGGCAGTCCGGCCTGCGGGGGCGGCCGCAGATCGCAAGGGAAAAGACATCAAAAAATATTGAAACGCAGTGCAGGTACGCATTTACAAGCCAGCCTTTGTTGCAGTCTGCAACCAAAACCTGCAGCACAGAAAGAGGTTTGAGTGTAGCACTGGCGTTGCGAGTAAAGCGGGGGACAACACGAGTTGACGGAATTGAGGGACGCTTTCGGCATAGGGGCAAGGCCGTGCGGCGAAGCACTGGCTGGCTGATTGTCCCGATGTGCTGTGTTCGATTGCACGTGGCTTGCGTGCGGCCCCCCGCGTGACTGCGTGAATGATTCGAATACAGTACAGTAAAAAGTGTTGACCCATGCGCCGAGTCGCTCACCTGCAGCGCGAGAGGAACGACGCCATGTTGCCGCGCCGCGTGTAGGCCAGGATGGCGGCTGCTCCCAGGTTGTTAGCCATGAGGGCGGCGGACGCGCAGAGCTGTCAGGGGCGGCGTTTGAATTTTGGGAGGGAGACGAGCAGAGCTGTCAGAAGCGGTCACGGGGTTTTTGAGAGAGAGGGGCGCAGAGCTGTCGGGGGCGGCGTTTGGAGTTTTGAAGGGGGGACGCGCAGAGCTGTCGGGAGCGGCGTTCCGATTTCAAAGGCAGGGGTGCTTGAGTTTGTGCGGGCGCCTGTGTGAGGGGGCTGTCGGGGTTTGAAAGGCTTAAAGGAAAGGGGTGGGTGCGTCCTCAGGGGAGGGCTGGCAGTGTGAGTCATGGTGAAACAATTGGGATGCGGATGGGGCGGGGTTGAGCCGCGAGCAGCGGCAACATTCGCACGGACACACGCACCCACCCACCCACCCACGCACACACACACACACACACACACACACACACACACACACACACACAAATATACCCCTCCCCCTCCCCACGTCCTCTGAGACCCTTTCCGGCCCGCGCACACATACACACACGCACGCACGCACGCACGCACACGCACGCAAACACGCGCGCGCGCGCGCACACACACCTCCTCCGAGACCCTCTCGTCAGGCGCCGTCCCGAGTTGGTGCAGCACCACAGACCCAAACTTCTCCTCGCGCGCCCAGGCCTCCATGCGCGTGGCCACGTCCCGCAGCACCGCCAGCGCCTTTGCGGGGTAGGCCCCCATCGCCGACTCGCCTGGCGGATTCGAATTCGAATTTGAATTCGAGATCGAATTTGGGACCGATTTGTTGACGAATCCCAGAGCATGTTGGCCGTGCGGGAGAGGGGTGGGCGGGGAGTGGGTGGCGGGGTGTGGGGGAGAAGAGGGAACGATGGTTGGGCCGCAAAGGGTGAGGCGGGCTGGCGGGGCCGCCGCCGCCGCCTTGCAACCAGCATCAAGCCGGCATGCTCGCCGCGATAAACCGCAACCTGCTACGTATTCCCCCCCCCTCAGCCGCCCCCGTCCACCTGACAGCATGAGAGCGTCAGCCTTCTGCCGCACGACGTCCGCCACATCAGCGACCTGGGGGTGGATGAGTCACACGGTGGTCGGGTGTGGCCGGGTGGGCCAGGGTGTTGGGTGGTCAGGGGGTCGTGTGGGGTGGGGTCGGGTGTCATGGCCTGAGCTGGGCAAGAGGCAAAGCAGCCAGCTGGCCACCCACCCACCCATCCATATACACACGCACACAAACTCATACACATACACTCACACACACACTCACACACACTCACACACACACACACACACACTCACACATACACACACGCATATACACACACATACACATACACATACACAGACACATTGAGTGACTCTGCTCGCGTCATTACTGGAGCCCCCCGCAAACGAATAAAGGCCCCGTCGCCAGCGCCCGCGTCGCGGCGCCATCGCGACTCGTTCGTGACGCGGGCGGGCGTTCGGGCGCGCGCCGGGCGCCCGCCCGCCGCTTTGCGAGGGCCCGGGCGGGGCGG